CCAACTGGGTAATCCATAAATATTGGACTATTAGGGGGAACTTGAGGACTGAGTTGGGAACCCCTGCTCTATGCCAACTCCATTAAAACCTTTTTTACAAACTTAGATGTATACAGGAATTAAAGGACATTCCTTTTAGAAATGGAAGATATTACCTGGGGACTTCATTGAAAGATCATTTTGATTCTTGTAAGTAACCATTGTATTTTCATTGACTGTTCCGATAATTGTGTAGAATCTTACGGCATCTATACATTGTAAGTTCTGAATGCTATGGTGTGTTAAAATGAAAAGAAGTAATACTTTTAATAAAGCCATCTACATTCACTATACCAGAATTTGTCGTTCTAATGTTTTTTAGTATATCAGCTGGCGAAACAGATTTCAAAATCATAAAAGGAAATATTCCTGTTTTTTATGTTTTTAGTCTTATTCAAACCTTTGGTGGCTTAAATCATCTTGCCATCTGTTCTATGACATTCATGTCACACTCAATTAAGATTCCCTATTTTCAAGCTGTCTTCACTGTTTAATGTGAAACTTCTTTCCAGTTACTTTGTAAGCCCCACACGGGAGAAGCTTGCTATCCCTGCTGGAGACTAGCATATATGAGACAGAAGAGATAATGACAGTGAGCTTCCCTAAGAGGTGCTGCATGACAAACGCACTCACTTACTGATTCCAATTATGAAAGCAGATAGATAAAAAAGGTGCTGCCTTTGGGAGGCTCATGTCAATTTGACGAGCTAAAGAAATCACTCATCTCTGGTTAGCATTGTTAACATGGCTTGCAAGTCTATTTCTAAGAAATGGGTATGTTCTAACAAGCCTTTCAGCACTGTGAACTGTGTAATGTACATATTCAATGCAATTCAGATGCCAAGGGAACATTAATTTAAGATAAGGGAAAAAAAAGCCAAGCAAATAAATAAAATAACATTTATCTATTAAAGGTCACGCCAGGCCTGAAACCAAATCACGAACTTTGGAGTATCCTCTTTTACTTATGATCTACATTTTATTTGGGTATGAGGTTGAACTATTTTGGCAACTTAGCCTTTAAAATACCCAGTGTTTTAACACCGTTAGGCATTCTTGGTATATTTCCACATAAGCAAAGGAAAGTCTTGCCACAGCAGATGCTTGAGGACTAGATTTCCCATGATGCTCAGCCAGTGTATACACAAAAAAAAAGTTTGAGGTTAGTCTGGACACATTGCGAATGGGAAGAATATATTAAATTAATAATCACTATAAGTCATTTTCCTCGACTAATGATAGATGGTGATTGTTTGTGTATTTCTTTGTAAATGAGACGCTAAGGAGGTTAAGGTTTGTGAGAAAGATAATGCACTAACACCTGCAGTGCCACTTTTAAACATAAATGCTGTATATCAAACTAAATACAATTCAAGACAGCCACAATTAACAACCGACATGAATACACTTTATTCGAGATGGTGCTAAATTTATCTACCAGATTTTGCCATGATACTGTATGAGTCAGTAAAAGTTAGTTTTACTGGGAATAACATATAACATCTAAAAATATTTTTTTAAATGACACATAAAAATAATGACCTATTTTTGACAATTCTATTTTCATTTTTTTTTCATAAAGTTTTTTAGGGTAAAAAGTGCAATTTTTTTGTGAAAATTATCAAGAGAAAATCAAATCTGTTTTTGTATACTGCACCATATATACCATAGTTCCATAGAAGTATCATAAGTATCCATGACATAGACATCTTTAGTGTCCGGTTTATTTCCTTAAAACCCTATCTGCAATCTCTGCTCTGCTCTGCTTCCTATTTATATTTTAAGTTTATCTAAGTTTGTTTAGCCCAGTTACTCTAAGGACCAGTATAGGTACTTTACCCTCTGTTGTGGATTTATATTCTGTGTGTTGGGTAATATAACCATGATATTACAACAGTACCATGGACTCAGCAGGTGTGAATATCTAGTTACCTACACATGATGCATGTGATCTGAATGATCTTGATCACAGGCCGGATCAATTTGCCCAAGAGTTGTAAACACTGATCCTACATACAGCTTGTATGCAACCTGAGGGAAATACTCAATTGCTGGACCCTATAGCTGCTGGAACGCATCCATCCAGCGTACTTCAGAAATCCCTGAAAATCAAGAGGATCCCCTTCATAAAGTAAAGGAGAGGTTAACAAGTAACTTAACCTCTCCTTTACATTATGAAGGGGATCCTTTTGCTTTTCAGGGTTTTCTGAATCAAGTCAGTATTCATTTTGAATTATCGCCTAGGGCATACCCTACTTATGGACATTTTTCATAATGGTTTAATGGAAGCGTATAATTTAGTAAAGATCCGTGAAGGTGCCATATGAATTTAAAACTTTTTCTTTTAGGTCAATCAGTTCCAGCATCAATTCCTGTTTTTCGCCACTAGTGGCCTCACTAGCCACTAGTCTAACGAAAAACACTCTCACCTGAATAGCATGATCATCCAAACATGCTATAAGAGGCCACACCCAACTTCAAAGGATGCCTTTACATTGATTGAAGTTTGTGCCCTGATGTGGACAAGACTTCTGACCCTGGCTCCTACTCTATGCTTCTATATTCTGAACCATCCTAATTCATTCTTTCAACTTACCTCACTTAAAGAAAACTACTTTTACCAACTTGGATACTATTTCTTTTTCAATATGCTTGAAGAAAACTTTATCTTCTATTTCTACCAGCTTTCCATCCATAATGGACTTTGTTTCAGTATTACTTTGTTCCTACAATTTACCGGTAACTATGTAACCTGGATATCCTGATCTTCTGTTCCTACCAGCTTTATTCAAATACTGGTCTGTGATTTATTATTTCTCTATTTCTATACTACTGAACTAACCTGGATATTACAAATATCCATTATTATTTCAACCATCCTGAAGGACCCTGTTTCTTCTATATAAAACCCTGCTGTACAACCTCCAAGCTAAAGAGACTTATCCACTAAACGTCAAACTTATCAGTATTACTTGTTCCTTTATATAGTTGTTTAGTCCAGTTTAGGTGTATATGATTGACATGTAATCTATAATTTCTATTATAGGGTCTCCTTCTCTTCTCCTTCATACTCACCTATAATTTCGTATTTAGGTTCTCCTTCATACTCTCCTATTATTTTGTTTATAGGTTCTCCTTTGTAATCAGCTATAATTTCGTTTATAGGTTTTATTTCTACTTCTCTCTCACAGCCTATATCCTGATAACCTGCTTAGGTCATATTGCCTAAACCTCTGTTTCTGTTATCCTTCCTTATTTACCTATAACTTTGTTTATTGGGTCTATTATCTCTTTTTGTCTGTATTGTTTCCTTTTCCCATAAGTTCTGCTATTCTTATTATTTTCTTGTCAAATCATGTCTAAAGTTCAAAATAAAGAACATAAAGTTAACCCCGGCATCGGTTTCTTGACTGACCCGATGCAAAACCTGACAGAAGGTGAGGAATGGAAAACCGCTTTAAATACAAGATATGGGCACTATGAGTATGTTGTCATGCCTTTTGGGCTGTGTAACGCTCCAGCCTTCTACCAAAATGTGATAAATGATGTACTAAAAGTCTACTTATATGAATTTGTCATTGTCTATTTAGATGACATTCTGATATTTTCTCCTGATTTAAAGATGCATCACAAACAAGTCACGATAGTTCTACAGAAGTTATTAGATAATGGGTTGTATTGTGAATTGGAAAATGTAACTTCTGAGTCTGGATTCCAAATGGGTCCAAAGAAATTAGAAGCCATATGAAAATGTCCCATACTCATGGGTTTGCAAGCCATACAGAGGTTCATTCTAATTACTATAGGAGATTTTTTAAAGGACTTTATTCTATTCTTTCTCCCATCACAAACATCACCAGAAAATGTAAACAGAATCAAAGATGGACTCTTAATCTAGATTTGGGGCAAAACTCTCGCAACGTGAGTCTCCTCTTCAGCCTTTCCACCCCTGTGGATTAGTTTCAACTATCTAAAACAGTAAAGAATTACGAGATTGAAGACAAAGAGTTATTAGCCATAATCTTGGCCTTAAGAATGGCACCATTAACTTGAGGGATCATCCATTCCTGTTACTATACTAACAAATCACAAAAACCTTTCCTATATTAGGGAATCAAAAGGGTTAACCACCAGACAAGCTTGTTGGTCTTTGTTCTTATTGTACTTACTTATAGGCCGGGCACAAAGAATATGAAAGTGGATGCTTTATCTCGTCAACTTGAAACACTTTTACCTACTGAAGTAGAATTTGCACAGATCCTCCCTAAGAAACATATTGTTGCTACAACTAAAATAAATATCTAAAATACCAAGCAATGATACCGCACTCAATCATAATGAAAAGATATAAAGATTTATTAGCAAAACATTGCCATATACCTAAACACAGCTTTAATTACTCAATATCTTAAGGGTGAAGAGATATAACCCATTATAAAGAGACAAGTGCAAAAATACCAAGTGCCTAAGTTGTGCATAAAGTGCTAATAACCATTAAAATACAACATTTTTGTATTAAAATAAATATCTGTTCAGAGTTGTTAAACACTCTGAGGGAGAAACAATATGAGGTGCCGAGACAGTCCCCTCCATACAAATTATTTGGTTCTCTTGCCTTTTGAAAAATAATGTTAACTTAATGCTATGACAATAAGGCAGGCGGTCACCCAGGAATACCAGATTCCTCACAATTCTGGTTGCCTTCATTCGAACAAGAGGTTAAGGAATTTATACAAACATGTACTATGTGTGATCAATCAAAAACCGTTCACATTTTACTATGTGGTCTACTATTGCCATTGGTTATTCCCCAGAAATTATGATCAAGTATATCAACATCAGTATATTAACACACCAAACCTTTAAAAGCACAGTCTGCCATTATCACAGTGCCGTGTAGTGGTTCCAAGAGTGCGTTTTTTACTGTCTACTGACTTTTTGGTGTCTGATTTGACTATTCTCTTACTGTTATGTTTTACTTGCTTCCTGGAACCGGCTTTGACTTTTGTAAAAAATTTTAAGTTTGTTCAACCTGTCCACTCTAAGGACTGGTATAGCTACTTTCTCTGTCCCTCTTTTTTTACATTTATATTCTGCCTGTTGGGTCATATAAGCATGACAGTTACTGCATTTAGGGTAAAACATTAACTGGTATATTAGGAATAAAACAAAGCAAACTGAGTGAGAGTGGAGCATTGTATACAGGGAAAATCAAGATACTATACAATGTTTGAATTGGCCAACTGTGCAATGTGCATGATGGATGACATTCTTGGAATGACGAGGTAACCGAGTAAGGCAGGTGAACACAACTGCAATAATACACATACACATAGATTATTTATACAAGACCTAGACTTTTAAAAGAGACAGAACAAGTATGTAAACAGAAAGAAATATATAAATAGTAGCACAAAGCAGACAAGTCAGTATTACTTGCCAATTATTAGTAAAAAAAAATACCAACAGCTCAATAGTAATTTCTTTATCATTCCAATATATCATGCCCACCCTTAGATCTTTCTAAAGGTTTTCAGGTTGCCCAACTGTGTCTAGAGCAGGGTTGTCATTCTAGGGAACATAGACGTTCAACTACAATATGTTACTAAGCACTACTAAGTCTTCTAATATGAAATAGACTAGAGTATATACTGCGAAGTATGGACAACAAAGGCGGCTCTCTAATTAGGTGATTTAGGCATCCGCCTAAGGCCTCGTGCTGGATGGGGACTTGTGGCTGCTCAAATCACCTTAGGGCACACTGACATGTCGGGTCTTCGGTATATGACCAAGGACCCAACACAGGAGGGGGCCCGGTGGCTTACCCATTATGCCGCCGGGTGCGAGGCCCCTCCATACAGTCTGCCCTGACGGAGATCCGAGCACTGCCTTCAGTTTGTAACTCCGCCAGGTGCAGAGCTACAGACTGAAGTGTCTCGCGATCACCAGCCTATCAGAGCGTTGCTGCGAGTTACCACAGCAACCCTCTGATACTTCTGGAGATCACAAGACACTTCCCACGAGCTTTGCAGCTCTGCACCTACAAGATATTGCTCTCTCCTGGTGCTCCTCCTACCTCTCCCAGCGCTCTTTCAGTGTTTCTTTCTCTGGCTCTGCTTCTTCTCCTCAACTCCTCTCTGTTGGTGTCCCCCAAGGTTCAGTCCTTGGTCCCCTACTGTTCTCCCCTACTGCCTCCCTTGGTAAACTCATTAGCTCCTTTGGCTTCGAATATCATTTCTATGCAGATGGCACGCAAATCTACCTGTCCTCTCCTGATTTCTCCCCGTCCCTCTTGACTAGTGTCTCTGACTGCCTCTCTGCTGTTTCTAACTGGATGGCTTCCCACTTCCTTAAACTAAACTTGACCAAAACGGAAATTCTGGTCTTTCCTCCCTCAAGTGTTGTTACTCCTGTGTCTGTCTCCCTCCAAGTCAACGGTGCTACCATCAGCTCCACCACGCAGGCTTGCTGCCTAGGTGTTCTCTTTGACTCCGACCTCTCCTTCAAGCCTCATGTTCAATCTATCGCCAAATCCTGTCATTTACATCTCAAAAACATTGCGCGCATCCGCCCCTACTTAACGCCAGATGCGACTAAGGTGTTGGTCCATTCCACTGTCCTTTCTCGCCTTGACTACTGTAATCCGCTTCTCAGTGGTCTTACATGCTCCCAACTAGCGCCGTTACCGTCCATAATGAATGCGGCGGCGAGGCTCATCTTCCTGTCCGCCCATGCCTCACCCTTCTGTAAGTCCCTACATTGGCTTCCTATAAAATATAGAGCTCAATTTAAAATTCTGGTTCTTGCTTTCAAATCTCTACATAATGCTGCTCTATCCTCCCTTATACACAAGTATGTAAGATTACATCTATCTTCTGTCCGAACTACCACCTCTGATGCTCGCCTTCAAGATTTCTCGAGTGCTGCACCGTTCCTGTGGAACTTGCTTCCCTCCTCCGTTAGATGCTCACCCAGTCTCCACTCCTTCAAAAAAATAGTTAAAAACCCTCTTCTTCATAAAAGCATATGAATTAAACTGTTAACAGCTCCTGACTGATTCCTCTTCTGCAACTGTCACTAGTCTCATACTATCCTTACCTTTTTGTGTCATTTTACCCCACTCCCTCTGGCATGTAAGCTCATTGAGCAGGGCCCTCAACCCCTCTGTTCCTGTGTGTCCAACTTGTCTGGTTGCAACTACATGTCTGTTCGTCCACCTATTCTAAAGCACTGCGGAATTTGACGGCGCTCTATAAATATCATAATAATAATAATATTTGAAAGATAGATAGATAGATAGAGATAGACAGATAGATAGATAGATAGAGATAAACATACCGATAGATAGATAGAAAGATAGATGATAGATAGATAGATGATAGATATATAGATGATAGATAGATAGATGATATATAGATATATGATTGATTGACAGATAGATAGATCATATATAGATGATAGATAGATGATAGATAGATAGATAATTGATAGATAGATAGATAGATGATAGATATATAGATGATAGATAGATAGATAGATAATAGGTAATAGATAGATAGATGATAGATAGATAGATGATAGATAGATGATAGATGATAGATAGAAAGATAGATGATAGATAGATAGATAGCAATATATGTTAAAAATGAACTTTTCAAAGCTGGAACTTCTTAAACTTTGCAGACTTTCTTTATTAATATTAAATAAATAACAAAAAGTTCACAAAATGTATTATGTTTAACTTTCATAATTTTCTTGTGACTGTTTTCTTTTTGAATGTTCATAAATTGCATTACCATGGCCATGGCTATCACTCAGCCAATTTGTCTCTTTAAAAGATACAATGTTTTTAATGTTTACTCTCCCCACGAAATGATCATAATTTTGTGATGTCTGATAATTCTTTTAGTGTTTTTAGAAAGCGGTAGATCAGTAGGAAAAAGGCACCTGCAGCATTTACAGCAGATTACAGTAATGCAGCATTGTTCTATTATTTTTGGCTAAAGTAAGCATATCTAGATCATAAGGGGCTGAGACAGATAAGTCCTGATAAGATAATAATGGCACCACAACTATATGGAGAGATTACGTTCACAAGAGTGAAAAAATAGAATGTACAAAAAAAATGAAACCAAACAAAGCTTTGTTTAACCATAAATAGGATTAAAAAGGATATTTATTTTTAAAGCAGTGAGTAATCACATTATTTTCTTCCACATTTTCTTTGCAATATATCAAAAACCCACAGTCTTATTTTATTATAAATTCAGTTTGTTAAGGATTTTGCATTTTATATATATATATATGTTAGCTTAAATAATAATTGTGCAAAAATATGTGTAACTGCTCCTGAAGGAGTGCTGGTCTCTTCAGAGTTCATCTTTGTACTGGTAGTGGTTTTTGCGTTGTTTAAGGGACACTCCAGACCCTAAAACACTTAAAGGAACACTATAGCATTAGGAATGCAAACACGTAATCATGACGCTATTGTGCTAAACTTTTTAGGGTACTTGCTTCCCCTCTGTGCAGTAAAAATGTGTTTGAACTTAACTTTTTTTCCCATGCTGAGCCAGTCTTGACACAGTTTGCTCCACCTCCATGGCTGAGACCATCAAACTTGATAATCTCATCCAATGCAATGCTTTCCAATTGGAAAGCATAGAACGCTATTGTGCATGCGTGGCAAAATGCAGCGCTGCGCCAACCAACATTTCTTTATAGGAATGCATTAAACAATCCATCTCTATGGGGAACGTTCGGAGCCTTCATGCATAGCATGGAGACACTGAACGCCTGTGCTGCACACTATGCATCACTTGACTAGGAAGCACCTTTAGTGGCTGTCTGAATGACAGCCACTAGAGGTGTTCCTAGGCAGCAATGTAAACACTGCCCTTTCTTTAAAGAGTTCTTCTCTGTATTTTACATTAAAAAGTGTGCAGGAATGTGCTATAGACACCAGAGCCACTACATTAAGCTGTAGTGGTTCTGGTTACTATAGTGTCCCTTTAATTTTACTAAAATGCTATTTGTGTTAAGAGCGTATCCTCTTTTATTTGTTTTATAAATAGTACAGATTTCCATAGAAATTGTCAGTTCTATAAAATAAAACAGATCTGTCACTTCAGATATATTCTTTACGAAATACTAATGAGGATTACATTGGAATTTCATTGAAATTCTAGCACAATCCACAGATACCATAAGACAAGGTAGGGAATACTTCTTATGGTGAAGCCTGAGGTTGTCAAAAGGCAGAGCTCTGCCATCAACTTTTGTCAAATTCCAGCAGCCATCACAAATGACCTCTGTGGAATTCTAGCTCTGTCTACGGATGATCTTGCAGTCTTGTGTGCAGCAATACAACACTGATGTGACTCCTGGCAACCGAAGCACCAGGAGCCGAAGAGGTTATCAGCATGTGGATGGCGGCAGCTGTGAAAAACAGCCTGAGGTAAATAAAACCCCCTGCTTTGCACCTTCAGTCCAAATTAAAATTGGTCAGTTTTGGGGGTCTTTGCATATTTCTCAAATAATTGACAGATCCCATTTAACCATGTTATACCCCCTGACAGTTAGACAGATTGTCCTGTTACTTCCTTGTTAGTTAGTGGAGATAAACACAAGAAGCAGGAAGTTACTCAGAGGATCTGCCATGCAAACACTACCCACTGAACCGCATTGTCACTGGAAAGACACAGAAATTCTGGGTGGGGTTAGAAAGGGAGGGCTTCCAAAGACTACAGATATGCAGATATTGCAAGCTTTTTTTAGAAATATGCCCAATGAAAAAAGACATATTTAACGCATACATGTTTTCATTGGGAGTATATCTACTAAACAGTGATTTCTATCATTTTTATAATTGGAGTGGAGTGCCCCTTTAGCCCCTTAAAGGACTACTATAGGCACCCAGACCACTTCAGCTCAATGAAGTAGTCTGGGTGCCAAGTCCCTCTAGGATTAACCCTTTCTGCTGTAAACATAGCAGTTTCAGAGAAACTGCTTTGTTTACATATGGGTTAATCCAGCCTCTAGTGGCTGTCTCATTGACAGCCGCTAGAGGCGCTTCCACGCTTCTCACTGTGATTTTCACAGTGAGAAGATGCCAGCGTCCATCGGAAAGCATTGAGAATGCTTTCCTATGAGACTGGCTGCGCATGCGCATTCAGCTGATGACGGAAGAAGAGGGAGGAGAGTCCCAGCGCAGAGGGAGCCCGGCGCTGGAAAAGAGGTAAGGGATTAACCCCTTCCTCCTCCCTCAGCGCCACGGGAGTGTAAAAATTTTTTTTTAAGTTAAATTCCACCACCCTTTTCCCCTGCTTTAATAAAATTAACCCCTTCCCTGCCAATTGATCACTGAATACAGTTATC